CGTACAGCACTGTATACGGTAGTGGATGGCAATTATGGGGTGTGTGGTGTACGTGGAGTGCAATGTGCGGTGTAAAGTGCAGTGCAGTTGCTCTTCACCTGGGGTGCACGCTGCACCCCCTGGGGGTGCGAGATGCCCTTTCTGGGGGTGCGAGACATGGCCAGATTTTTGAAGAAGCTAAGTCATCGAAACACAAATTAAGTTACTACTTTTTTATCAAACACACCTATGTATTTATTAACATTGTACATTTTTGTAATGATTGGTGTCGTCTATGATTGTGAAGCGTTCGTTTAGTGTAAGGATGAACGCGGTGAGGTTGACTTGAGTGAGTAGAGGTAAGTAGGGAGTGAGTATGTAACTGTAGAACTTATTTTGCTAATCGGAGGTGCGATGGACAACAAACTAAACCCAAAAATCGGTCCTAAAGAGCAGTTCTAAGGCTGAGATGTGGCTCAAGTGAGTGAGAGTAGGGGGTTATATGGGCCTCGCCTAGTTCGACTCAGCCTCAAATGAGTACCTGGTGCGGTGTGTAAACACCGCCACTAGAGAGTCAAAGGCGGTCAGGCGTGGTGATGACCACCTACCCACTCATGCACCGTACTGGCCTTCATAGGTGCTGGCTCACAGCACTTGCCCCAACATTATTTGTAAAGCTGTATCTGGAATCGTTGTCGTTTATATATGACTGTATGTGTATGTAGTAAGATTACCAATAACCAGTCTGAGCCATTCCCTGTTCACCTTGGGGCACGACAGATATGTCCTCTGGCCCTAACACTATATAATTTCTTCTTTGGACACCTAACTGGAGACGCTTTCCGTGGATTTCCCGGTGAAATTTGCATCTGGTACAGATAGAATGGGAGGCTGATCGATGCCCGGATGCTGTTAGGGGATGGCTCCCTGTTGGTTAACCATATTATTTATGCGAATAAGCTGGTAATGTGGCTACTGCAGGAATTCATATTCTTTGGGTCTTTCGGTAATGCCACGTAGATAGAAAAACTGAGCAATCATTGGAAGGACGTTATTAACCAGGTTAAGTCATAATTCGCTGTGATGTTTAGTAGTTATTTTCGACTCTCTGGTGTTACATTAACAGGTTAAATGTCTTTACATTAACAGGTTAAATGTCTCACTAACACAGCCACCGTTGCTCGTTTTCCTTGATGTGGCGGTGGCTCTACGATCTTACATTGACATGCTATCTCTTACAATGCAATGGCCACCCCGTCAGCTTCATAGTCGTGGAGGTAGCTCAGCACTCCGATCTTACATTTACATCCAAATTTCATCACTAGCACCCGCCCACTTCGCTTATACACAATACAATGGCCTCCTCCGCAGCTTGGTCGTCGTGGAGGTAGCTCAACTCTCCGATCTTACATTTACGTCAAAATGTTTTCACTAGCCCCGCCCACTTCGCTTATGACCCTTGGGCTACACCCATCTCAAACCTTTATAACATCCTGCCTCAGCAGCTCTCTCGCTATGTTTCACCTTGCAATCGAAACGTCGTGATATGTTTTTTTATTATTTATTCTATCTACATGGCTTTATCGAAATACCCAAAGAATGTGTCTACTGTCCACTCTGAGAAGGATTTAGACGCATTACTACCGAACTTGGAGCATACTAGTTAGACATGGGGCCTTATCATCAGCCCCACAAAAATAAAGCACCTGCCTGGGTATTTTACGTCATCAAATGGTTTCCTCCCCAAACTCCGAATGGGTGATGGGGCAGTAGTGGAGAGAGGGGAGACGTTTCTGTACCTGGGCAGTGTGCTTGGGCAGAAAAGGGCTCAAAATCAGTCGAGCGGCATGATCTTTTAATCAACTGCGTTATGCAGTTTGAAGGCTCCCTTGCCTTTCAATCTTATTGGCCATAGTTATGTCCTCGCTTCCCTTTCCATGCGTAAAATGTGGAGCTCTTTTAAAGTAACATCTTTGCTGGCTTGAAACATTCAGGTTCGCCTGCCTATGATCCACCATGGGTTTAACCAGACTGGATTACAGTGTGGAGGAGCTCACATCCTTGAGAGATCTGGACACAGTCCCATCGGAGACCACCTCCGGCCGGCTGCGTTGGCTGGATCATGTATCCCGCATGCCAAGCCATCTCATTTAGCTTCCCTTTGGCCGGATATAGGCGGCTAAACGGGTATACGGCACGGGTTATAGAGGAGATTGACTGGCGTGGTATAGAAAGAATGGACTTGTCGATGATTGGAGGAGGTTTATTATAAAGGACGCTACGGGCAGTTGGAGGCAGTCGCTCTCCAGCAACAACGGCCGGTGGAGGAGCGATGCTCACAACAACGAGAGGTTTAAAACACAGCGATTTGGCACAGTCGGGAGCACAGGTGTTGCATCTGCCAGTTAATCTCAGTTAATAAACCCATGGCACCTGGGTATGTTCCGTGACATCCTGCCAGCGAGGCAAAGGTAAATATCCCTCCGTTATAGCCTTTAAGGAACTGTTGAGGCAAGTGCTGTGAGCGAGCACCGGTGTTATTGCCGATCCAATGGGGTGGTGTGTGGCCTGAAAAAAAAACAATACCCGGCCGTCTTTGTCTCCTCCCGTGCTAATGTTTACACATCGCACCGAGATACTCATTTAAGGTCTGTAAACCTAGAGGATGTTGGCCGTGAGCGGCAGCTGGGTCGCTCTTATGATTCAGACGCCTTCGGAAACAACAAACCCAGCGGCGCGTGGAGCACTCACCTACACTGCCCGTCAATGCCCACACATGAATCACGGCATGACAGTCTAATTAGGACGCTGCTAAATTAAGAAACCATGCGTGCAAGTGGCCCGGAGACGCGGCGGGGGTGGATTCATAATGGTTGTTGTCCGCCGAGTGGATGCTGAGTCTGGCATAAGCGACTGACCGTGATTAAACCAGGTTCTCTAATGTGGCGAGTTGATGGCCTCAGCCCGGTTACCAATGACTCACACATAGATCCCAGAGACTTACACAGAGATCCACAGACTTACAGAGAGACACATAAACTTACACAGAGATCCATAGACTTACATAAAGACACATAGGCTTACACATAAATCCAGAGACGTACACAGAGTTTCATAGACTTACAGAGATCCATAGACTTACACAGATATCTATAGACTCACACATATCTATAGATTTATACAGAGATCCATAGACATACACAGAGATCCTTACACTTACACTGAGATCCACAGACTCACACAGAGACCCATTAACTCACATAGACCAGGCTGTGATTGAACCTGGTTCTCTGTTCTAGTGAGTTGATGGTCTTTACTCGGTTATTTCCAACTGCACAATGAGGCCGCCGTGCTACATTTGATTTCTGGCCTCATTTGGCAGAATTTCAACTCTTGAGAATTAAATTTGTCGTTTGAGGAACATGAGACGGATACTCTCGCTACGGCATATGCCACGTGCAAAAAGATACACCCTTTGTGAGGCATCAAGTCTGCATTAACCACATGTACTTGTGGCAACACATGCAAACATGTTCTGATAATGTATGTATTGTCTTGGCAACTGATTAGCCTACACCTGACAGCCTTGTTCATGGCCACGTCTCTGCACCAGTGTTAGACCCTCGAACGGAAAAAGGCGAACAATACAAAGACAATGCAAGTATCAGGAGCATTTAGCGTTCGGGTTGAGCTATATTACCAGAGCATAATTGCATGTTTTTCCACAAGTAGGTGTGGTTAATGCAGACTTGATGCCTTGCAAAAGGTATCTCTTTGGTGTTTGCACGTCTTTACACTTCCTATTTTATTGCTAAAAAGGGAAGAACCTCCACATATTGTTTCATCATTTTGATACTGGCAACAATGTTCCATAGATATTAAGAAAGTTGGCTAAAAGGTTGAAAAAAACCATTCCATAGCTAACTGAAAGCACTTGATTCACATAAACTAAACTATTTTTTTATAAACTATTTTTATTCCAGGTAAGGCCCAATGAGTAATATAGCTCTTCTTTTTCAGAAGCAACCTGCCCATCAATAATAGCTCAATGAAGTGGATTATCACGTGCAAATTTTAGCAGCCAAATACTTTTAACACATGTAGAGGGAAATACCGGAGTACCCAGAGAATAACCCACGCGACCATGGGGAGAGAGACACGCAAACTCCAACTACAGTATACAGGCATCACGGTAGGGATCGAACCCGCGACCTCCTGTATACCAGGGGAGGTAGTAAACATATCACCACCGTGGTGCCCTTTAACACGTTTAATCCTCTATCAATTAACACCACTGTAATTTTACAAATCGTCAGAATTTCCAATCACAAATGGACTCTGGACAGAATTGCTAACCTATCAAGAATAGAGTCAGATTGCTTGTGTTATCGTTAGAGCTGGGGGGTTAATGCCTACGGTTAAGGTATGAGCGATTGCAAAAGCTATGGTTAATGTCAGAGCAAGAGTTATAATTACAACTCAAGCCGCTAGGTAGCATTGACCCAGACAGTTCGGGAATTGCAATCCGTGTTCGGGTGGCAGGGGTTGATTTGGACTAAGATCTGGTAAGGGTGTTACTTTGTAGGACTGAATTACAAGTTGCAGCACAGATTTGAACGACCCAGGCTGATTGGAATGTCAGGGTTTGTGCATTCTATAGAATTGTTTTGGTATGTTGTAGATTATGTCGTGGTGGTATTCTATGGACGTTTTATGGTGGAAATATGTAGAAACTGTAGGAGTTGAAATCTGTAGGATCCACAGTGGAGTGAATCTGTAGGATCCACACTGGAGTGAATCTGTAGGATCCACAGTGGAGTGAATCTGTAGGATCCACAGTGGAGTGAATCCGTAGGATCCACAGTGGAGTGAATCCGTAGGATGTGACTCTATGGCAGTATCAAGTTTAACAAAAACCACAAACACATCCATCACAAATAATCGATCCTCACACAAACACACACACACACATGGTTTGACGCACGCGCCATGAGTGTAATAGTGGAATTTTAATTGATAATAAAATTGAGGAATTGTCATGTGCCTAATGTATGCTGCTGCGTCTGACCACAATCGCCGACTGGCCAGCTCCGCTTAAGCTCATTAATAACTACTCCACACTAACCGTGGGAACGCAGTCATAAAATAATGATCATTAATATATCTACATATATATATATATGGGCAACATCTGCTGGTATGTGCATTGCAAATTCCCATTTATTAAGTATAAAGATCTTGCATCACGTTTCGCTGCACTCACTCCGATTGATAATGTACATTCCTGGGGAATGTGTCCTGCGGTTTAACATTCACACGCTGCTAACGCACAGCAGTAGCAGGGTTTTTTTTCCGCAGTTTGTTATTACTTTGAATCGGAATTTATTTTTTACGAGTAGGCTGGCCCCACGTCAAGATGCGGGCCAGATTCGTGTCGTAAGACCCTCCGCCATCTGACGAGAGCCAAACAAATTAAATATGCCTGTGAGAATCGTTCTCTACTGGTGAGTTAAAACCATGATTAAATATTACGATAAAAACTTGTACACCATTTAACACGTTTAACTGTTTGGTGGCTATGTCGAATGGTATTATGACACGCACATTTGACCGCCACATTTACATCGTGGCCCAAGCCCCGAACAAAAAAAACAAAATCAACTCTGAATCATTAAGGTATCTGCTCGAAACGTCACACAGGTCTCCTCCGTGTTCCAGGTTCGTCTCGTGGAAGTGATCGCGAGCTTTTAATTGGCATGTCGTTTCGGTGGATCATTAATCAAGGTCACAACTCATTCCGACATGGTCCAACACTTACCAACATCCTCCCACGATCATCAATTATGCAGTTCCGTAATCCAGAAAGACTCGGGGGGTGGAGTTGGTGGATCACTCATAGATGGAGCGATGTGGTGTTTTTAGAAGGCAGTGCAGCAGGTTATCCTCCCGTATTTTGACGTGCGTCTCCATGGGTTTTCTCGTGCACAAAAGATGACTTTAGTATGGAATCGGCCAAACATCTCGCAAGCAGGTCCCTCCTGACAAATAGTCTTGGGACTCACTGAGCCTTTCCTGACCTGTAGAGACGGGGGGTGAAGGAGGGGGTTGGTGGTTCACGAATAGGAGACACGGCCCGTCAAGATGATGATTTACGTGAGGAATATGTCATTCGCGTGAAGGCCAGCACAGCGAGTAGGCCGAGCCAGGGTAAGGTCATGTTGCTTGTGTGGTGGTAACATTGTTGAAGCACTCTCCACGTTTGCGTGCACGGGCGTCATCTGGGCACTTCTGCGTTCCTCCCTCGCGTAATTGAAATGGATGGACAGGAATTACCCGAGCATCCCGAGTACATTGCTGAGGCTCGGCGAGGTGTCCTGATTTCATAAAGAGAGTTGAAAACGATTGACTCACATTTGTAGATAAAAAAAAAATGCTTCAGCCAAGACGTTTTTTAACAAAAAACGCCAGAAATTGCATAAAAATTCAGAAGCTTCTGCCTAATTATTGGCTCATTCATTGACCACAGTGCCAAAGTGGGAAACCCGCCCGCATTGATTGAAACTCGAGACATCTCCAGAGACTTCAAAGTGCAGATGATGAGCCTTGAAAGTGTTTCTTACACTTCCCAGAAACCCACACGTTTCTCTGACAGTGTTGCCAGAAACTTGCAAATCCCAGCTGTCTTGATCTGAATGTCAGAAAATGAACTTACAATTTCCTGAAACGTTTTCTGATTTCACGCACGTTGGCATGTCCACGCGCATTGCTCTGGTTCACCACCAATCCCGGCACACAAACAAACTGGATGGACGCGGTCTCTCGGTCAGCGCGAAGTCGTCAAAGCCGTGCAGTATCCTGCAAAGAAAGTTCAACACGGCAACAACCGGGACCAATATCTCAGTACAAATCAACTCTGCTGACACTCGAACACAGAGGATGCCAATGTCCTGGACTGACCACGGTCAAACCCTGCAAAGGTGGTGACTTTAACATCGGTTCATGTGAGCAGGTCACCTCTTATTCACTCACCAGTTATGAGAAAGACAAGACAAAGCTTCTCCCTTCTTATCTACTGGTGGATATTTCAGATTCCCATGTTGGTGTCCGTTCTCTCCACATAGCAAAATATACAATAACTTTTTCATAAAGCAATGCTCGTTTTATTTCACATAGAGGGATGATGGTGATGATGATGATATTCCAAGTTCAAATTCTGGTTAGGAGGGCTTTACTCAACCCACCGTCCTTCTGCGGTCAATAAAAGAAGAACCACATTGTGGGCAAGATCAACAGTGATCATCTTATACAGTTTATACTCGTCGCTGTCATTAAAACGTGGAATTTCCGCCACTGGCTCTGCAGGGCTGTAAATGGAAATGAGCACGAGTGCCCCAATCACTGCTCATTTGTGCAGGAACTCACTTCGATGTCCTTAACTGGTCGATATATTTAAAATCAGTTTTCGCCCTTTCTGGAAAGGCTGATCTGTGACGTAGACATGTGGAACGTGGAGAGTCACCTCAATAGGGGACCCACTGTCCACCCGAGAGAGACAACGACGGGCCAAGTCTACCTGGCTGGAGGGTTTTGACTCAACATTTATGGGCACGGAGGACAAAAAAATGGTAACTGATGAGCCCACGTCTCGGTGGCAAGGAGGCTTCAGTCACTCAAATATCCCATCGGCATCGCGGAACTTCTTGGAGCACACACTCCCGGCAGCATTGGGTTAAACACAAAGCAAACCCTGAACCGTTTGCAACATTCAATGACTCATTATTCAGAGTGAGGGGGGCTTGCTTGAGCCAGTACTGATGGACTGCCAGAAGTTTATGGGCGAGGGTCCCCTCTCTGTAAGATATGGGCTTGGTAGAAAATTTATAACAATAGTATACATTTCCTACGTAGATGGGAGAGACGTGAGAAGGGAAGTGAATTGTCACAGGTGGCTGAGAGCTACCTGGCCTTGCAGAACCTCCAGGTAATCCGTCTCGGCTTGATGCTGCTGCTGATTCTGTTGCTGCTGTTGTAGCTGATGATGATGTTGTTGCTGATGCTGTTGTTGCTGCTGATGATGATGCTGCTGATGCTGCTGCTGTTGCAGCCGTACCCGCAGCTCCAGGTACTCCCCGCCGCACCCGCCCTTGGCCACGGCTTCAGCCGCCCCCATGGAGGCCGAGGGCCGCTCCTCGGCCAGGCGGCGGAAAGGCGCATCTGCGCCGCGCACCTCGCAGTAGCGCAGCCGCTCGTCACAGCGCAGTGCGTGGCACGAGAGCTCGTGCAGGCCACCGGCGTGCCTAGGCGCCGAGACAGCCGTGCCATGCCGGAGCGGGGTCTCGGTGCTGGCAGCCTCCCCCCCCTTGTTGGCCACCACGGTGTCGTCGTCGTCTTCATCATCGTCATCGTCTTCGTCGTCCTCCTCCTCGTCGTCCCCATGGGGGTTGTAGATGGGGTTCTCCTGCAGGAGGTTGGGGGTGGTCGAGCGCGGGTCATACACAGATATGGCGCCGCCCTCCGGCTCGAAGAAGTCCACCCCTCCCCCTGGTCCTCCTCCTACGCGGCCGCTGCCACCCCCTCCCACGCCTTCCCCCGCCACCTTGGAGGAGCGCTTGGCGTCGTCCTGGAGCCTCGTGCGCCCGTTCCTCCGCCGACCCCTGCAGGCCGGCCCCGCTGCCGCCACCCCCCCTCCTCCTCCTCCTCCGCCGGCACCGCCGCCGCCGCAAGACGAACACGAGCCAGCCGGCGGCCACGAAGACGGCACACAGCAGAACGAGCAGCAGGCCCAGAATGAGCACGGAGAGGGGAACGGGTCCCGTAGGGACGGAAGCCCAAGCGGGGGCGGCCGTGCCCACACAGGTAGTGGCCTCCACCTGCGGCCATGTGGGCACCATCCAAATGCCCGAGCCGCTCCTATTGCCGGCGCCCCCACTGCTGTTGCGACCGTCGCCACTGTCGTTGGTGCCGGTACCGAGCAGGACGCTGGTGTTACTGCCGGCGTGGCCCCCACCGGCCGGGACCGGCAGAGGCCCGCGCGTGCGGTTGGGGCACAGCGTGTCCAGCGGCACGGAGCGCAAGTCTCGGCCGGCCAGCTCCTCTGGTGACTCGCAGGTCAGGCCGCCCACGAGCACGCCGCTGCTGAGCCGCACGGCCCAGCGGCGCAGCTCGGCCAGCGGGCAAGAGCAGTCCCACGGGTTCTCCTGCAGGTCCACCTGCACCGGGCCACACATGCACACACAACAAACATTCTCCACTCACGTTGCCCTGCGCTACATGCTCATCGTGCTGGAACTCTCTGCAGCAGTGGTGGCAGTGGCGGCATCAGTGGTAGCAGCAGCGCGACTCAAAACCTCCCCCCCCCCCCCACTCTCTACTCCATGGAGCAGGGACCATGGTCACTGCCGGGAGTCGTTTCTTCGGGACAGCATTAAATATTTCTGAAAGGCCCTCGATCTCTAACGCCTGAACTTGGCTCCATGCCTCTCAAATATCACAGCCATTTGTATTGTGAAATGCTGCGCCTCTTACAAATTGCATTGTTTTATTTTATTTTCTGTTTAATCCAGATCGTGCTACCATTGTGATGCGAAGGAACGGAGCGCAGAGCAGTTTAGTGCTCCATGTTAGAGAATGGCCCACGGAAGAAGCGTATATCATAGACCTACCTCTGAGATACATACATGTCACCCTGAAGAACTGTCCCATCTCCGTTCTTCATATGGCAGTCAACGCCAATGTTTCAATACTCAGAGATTACATTTAGTCAAATTACGTGCAGGGTTACGGTTGAGACCATTAACTCACTAGACTAGGGAACCCAGTTTAATCACAGGCAGTAGCAAAAACCTTGGTTGAAAGCCAGCATCTCATCCATGCTCGCTCAATGTTCAGATGCCTGGGACACCAGGCCACCATCATTGCTACCACCACCACCACCATCTTCACCACTACCACCGCCACGGCAGTGCCCGTTGCCACGCACCTGCACAAACCCCGTGACGGGCTCAAGCACGGCGCGTGCTGCGAGCCACGCCAGGTGGTTGCCCCGCAGGTCTAGGCGTGCGAGGCGGGTCGCGCCCGAGAAGAGGCCGGCGGGCAGAGAGCGCAGGAGGTTGCGCCCCAGGAAGACGAGCTGCAGACTGCGCATGCCGTCCAGTGCGCCGGCCTCCACCTCGCGGATCACATTGCCCTCCAGGTAGAGGTAGTGCAGGCCCGAGAGGCCGGCCAGCATCTCGGGCGTGAGGCGCGCCAGATCATTGCCATTGAGGTAGAGCCGGCGCAGCGAGGGCAGCGATGCGAAGGCGCCGTCCTGCACGAAGGAGATGCGGTTGTTGGCCAGGTGCAGCAGTTCCAGGCCCGAGTAGCCGCGGAAGTCGGCGCGCATCACGCCGTGCAGCTGGTTGCCCGTCAGGTAGAACTGGCGCGGGTCGGAGGGCCGCGGGCGCAGGGTGGCCACGCGGCCCAGCCCCCGCTCCTGGCAATTGACGCGTAGGCCCAGGTCCACGTTGTGCACGAGGCAGCGGCACGGCCGCGGGCACTCCACAGGGATAGGGGGTCGCGCCGGGCCGGCCGTTGTTGCGGCGGCATCGCCGTGGGTGTGCACGCGTGCCGGCCGCGGAGGGGCCCGCGTAGCACCCCGGGGAGGGGAAGGCGCTGGGGTCTTGGCGTGGGGTGAGAGATCGCTCTGCCCGGGTCGGTTGAGGCCCAGAGTTTTGTTGGCGGCGGCGATGCTGCTGCTGGGCTTGGCGGTGGGGCTCGGCGTCACCGGCTTGGGGGCGGCGGGGGCGCCCGGAGGCTTCGGCCTTCTTGGCACGAGGCCGCCACCTCCCAGTTCATCGTCTTCACCTTCGTCGTCATCGTCGTCGGCGGCTCCGTAACCTCCTCCTCCCGCTCGAGCGTCGCCCCCGTGTCCCCCGCCCACGTGGACCCTGCCGGCGCCTGCCGCCTGCATCATCATGCGGCGCGAGCAGACCTCGTGGCGCGACAGCTCGCGGAGCAGCTTTCCGTGCACGCGGAATGGGTACTCGCACATCACTTCGCCCACCAACGTGGAGTAGGGGATCTGCTCAAGCCAGCGGCGCATGGGCAGCGACGCGCATGAGCAATTCCACGGGTTCTCGCCAAGCTGCAGTTCGCTCAGGCGGCCAAGGTGCTCGAGCAGCCCGGGCAGGGGCAGCGTCTTGATGCGGTTACCGCGCAGGTCCAGGTGGGTGAGCGCCAGCCCGCGGAAGGCGTGCGCCGGCAGGCCCGTGAGCACGTTGTCATTGAGGATGAGCACCTTGAGGCGGGGCAGTGGCGAGAAGGCGGCAGGCTGCACGCGGCGGACGAGGTTGTAGTCCACCTGCAGGTACTCGAGCGAGTGCAGGCCCAGGAAGGTGTCGTTTCGTAGCACCTCCAGGCGGTTGTTGCTTAGGAAGAGCTTTCGGACCGAGCGCAGGCCCTCAAAGGCGCCGTCGTGTGCCGCGCGGAGGCCGTTGCCCGAGAGGCTGAGCAGCAAGACGCGTGAGAAGTTGGCGAAGTCACCTGGCCCCACGCGGCCGATGGAGTTGCCGCCGAGGAGCAGAGAGAATGGCGGAGGCGGCGCCACGCCGGCGCCAGTACGGGACGTGAGGGGCGCCGGGAGGCGCGCCACGGAGGTCACGCCGCGGCCCTCGCAGTTCATCTCAAGCAGGCCCTCCCGCTCAAAGCAGGAGCACGGCTCCCGGCACAGGGGCTCCCGCAGGAAGGAGCGCAGAGCCTGTGACGTCGAGGAGGTGGACGAGGAGGAGGATGGGGAGTGGTGCCCTCCCAGGGGAGATGAGTTCCCGGCAGACACCAGGATGCAGTAGGCAGCCAATGCGAGGCCCGGGAGCGGAGCGGGTGGGGGAGACATTGCGCGTTGTGCGACGCCGTCGGGAGGGGTGGGGGTAGCTGGGGTTGGGGGGCGTGGGAAAGGGGTTGGGGGCTGGGTCGGGGTGGAGCTTGAGATGAGGAGCAGCAAGAGTCTTAACACCTCGAAGAAGGTGGATAGGTGGGTGGGAGGATCGCCGGTCTGAAAGGAGATGGGAGACGTGCGGAGAGGAAGTGACAGGCAGGTTGAGAAACAGAGACACAAGGAGACACAGATTATCATTATACGTGTGTCCATGTGCCTACGAGTGTGCGTGTGTGTGCGTCTACGCTTGCGTGCATGTGTGCACTAATACTGTCTTTTGTGGACATGTATGTGTGTGGGGAACGGGAGTGTAGCGGTCAGCGAGCTGCGCTACGCGCCCAGAAATCCGGGTTCGATTTCCGTTCATGACCAATACCAGTGACGATTATCTGAACCGGTCATGGGCCTCCCCTAGATCGACACAGCCTCAAATGAGTACCTGGTGAGACAAAGGCGGCCGGGTTTCGTCCAAGCCACATCACCATAGTGCGCCATGGTACTACTCGCCAGCAGCACTTGCCTCAACAGCCTGTGGAGGCGACCTGGGAAATATACGCCTTTTGTTCGGGATGTGTTTCAGAATTATCAGGCGAATCTGCGATTCTGGCCACGAGTGTGGTGTTGGCCACCCATCCCCTCTTGTGCAGTGCCGGCCTTCATAGGTGCTCGCTAACAGCACTTGCGCCAACAGTCTGTTAAAAGGCTATACGGGGGATCTTTATCCTTGTGCAGAGCTCAGCAATGGTGAATGAGCAGCCTTGTATTGCGTCTGGCACCGCGAATGAATGAAATCTCCGCCGCAATTTGTTTCATTTATGAGAAGAGCGATTCGCTCGCTCTCTGCTCTCATTGTGAAGTCGCAGGTCACGCCAAACAATAACAACCTCCACTGGCATAACAAGTTAGATTTCTCCTCATATTTATTCCAATAAATAATTTAATTGGTGGAGGGGGGGGGATTCTGTGAGCGAGGGGATGCCCCCAGAAGAGGACATCAGATAACTGCTACGTCTGAGGCCATTTCAGCAGATTGAGCCAAACTCATCGAAGCAACTTTTGATGTTCCCGCAGAGAGTGTCTCTCGCAAGTCCATCCGTCAGTCATTGGAGACCATCAGTTCACTGCGCTCGGGAACCCAGTTTTATCACAATGTGAGTCTATGGATCTATATGTGAGTTGATGGATCTCTGTGTACGTCTATGGATATCTGTGTGAGTCTATGGGACTCTTTGTAACTCTATGGATCTGTGTGTAAGTCTATGGATCTCTGTGTGAGTCTATGGATCTCTGTGTAAGTCTATGGATCTCTGTGTGAGTCTATGCATTTCTGTGTAAGTCTATGCATCTCTGTGGAAGTTTATGGTAATTCGATTGATTGGCCTGATACCACCAGAACCCGGTTTAATCACAGCACAGTCGATGTGAGTCTGTGGATCTCTGTTTTGCTCGCTTTATGCGAGTCTGGTTTGTGCGATTTTTAGTAAATTCGGATGACCTATTTCTACCCAAAATGCGCTCCATGTAGTTTGAATTTACTCTACATGCATTCGGCTATGCGGTCGAATGTGTGACAACAGCGTGTGTGTGTAATATGTGTACTTTGTGTGTACTGTGTGCGTGTACTGTGTGTGTACTGTGTGTGTGTACTGTGTGTGTGTACTGTGTGCGTGTACTGTGTGTGTGTAATATGTGTACTTTGTGTGTACTGTGTGCGTGTACTGTGTGTGTGTAATATGTGTACTTTGTGTGTACTGTGTGCGTGTACTGTGTGCGTGTACTGTGTGTGTACTGTGTGCGTGTACTGTGTGCGTGTACTGTGTGTGTGTACTGTGTGTGTAATATGTGTACTTTGTGTGTACTGTGTGCGTGTACTGTGTGTGTGTAATATGTGTACTTTGTGTGTACTGTGTGCGTGTACTGTGTGCGTGTACTGTGTGTGTACTGTGTGTGTACTGTGTGCGTGTACTGTGTGCGTGTACTGTGTGTGTGTACTGTGTGTGTGTAATATGTGTACTTTGTGTGTACTGTGTGCGTGTACTGTGTGCGTGTACTGTGTGTGTGTACTGTGTGTGTGTAATATGTGTACTGTGTGTGTACTGTGTGTGTGTACTGTGTGCGTGTACTGTGTGCGTGTACTGTGTGTGTGTACTGTGTGTGTAATATGTGTACTTTGTGTGTACTGTGTGCGTGTACTGTGTGTGTGTAATATGTGTACTTTGTGTGTACTGTGTGCGTGTACTGTGTGCGTGTACTGTGTGTGTACTGTGTGCGTGTACTGTGTGCGTGTACTGTGTGTGTGTACTGTGTGTGTGTAATATGTGTACTTTGTGTGTACTGTGTGCGTGTACTGTGTGTGTGTAATATGTGTACTTTGTGTGTACTGTGTGCGTGTACTGTGTGTGTGTAATATGTGTACTTTGTGTGTACTGTGTGCGTGTACTGTGTGCGTGTGCTGTGTGTGTACTGTGTGCGTGTACTGTGTGCGTGTACTGTGTGCGTGTACTGTGTGTGTACTGTGTGTGTGTACTGTATGCGTGTACTGTGTGTGTACTGTGTGTGTGTACTGTGTGTGTACTGTGTGTACTGTGTGTGTGTACTGTGTGTGTACTGTGTGTGTACTGTGTGTGTGTACTGTGTGTGTACTGTGTGTGTACTGTGTGTGTGTACTGTGTGTGTGTAATATGTGTACTTTGTGTGTACTGTGTGCGTGTACTGTGTGTGTGTACTGTGTGTGTGTACTGTGTGTGTGTACTGTGTGTGTACTGTGTGTGTGTGTACTGTGTGTGTACTGTGTGTGTGTACTGTGTGTGTGTAATATGTGTACTTTGTGTGTACTGTGTGCGTGTACTGTGTGCGTGTACGGTGTGTGTGTACTGTGTGCGTGTACTGTGTGCGTGTACTGTGTGTGTGTACTGTGTGTGTACTGTGTGTGTAATATGTGTACTTTGTGTGTACTGTGTGCGTGTACTGTGTGTGTGTAATATGTGTACTTTGTGTGTACTGTGTGCGTGTACTGTGCGTGTACTGTGTGCGTGTACTGTGTGCGTGTACTGTGTGTGTGTACTGTGTGTGTGTAATATGTGTACTTTGTGTGTACTGTGTGCGTGTACTGTGTGCGTGTACTGTGTGCGTGTACTGTGTGTGTGTAATATGTGTACTTTGTGTGTACTGTGTGCGTGTACTGTGTGTGTGTAATATGTGTACTTTATGTGTACTGTGTGCGTGTACTGTGTGCGTGTACTGTGTGCGTGTACTGTGTGCGTGTACTGTGTGCGTGTACTGTGTGCGTGTACTGTGTGTGTGTACTGTGTGCGTGTACTGTGTGTGTGTAGTGTGTGCGTGTACTGTGTGTGTACTGTGTGTGTGTACTGTGTGCGTGTACTGTGTGTGTACTGTTTGTGTGTACTGTGTGTGTGTACTGTGTGTGTGTGTACTGTGTGTGTGTACTGTGTGTGTACTGTGTGTGTGTACTGTGTGTGTACTGTGTGTACACTGTGTGTGTGTACTGTGTGTGTGTACTGTGTGTACTGTGTGTGTGTACTGTGTGTGTGTACTGTGTGCGTGTACTGTGTGTACATTGTCGACTCTGTTTACCGTGTGTGTACAGTATGCATAGAGTCCAGTGTGTGCTGTGTACAGTGTCCAGTGTGTCCACTGTGTACTGCATGCATACTTTGTGTACTGTGTGTAGTGTGTATTGTGTGCACTGTGTGTATACTGAGTGTGTGTGTAGTTTGTACCATCTGTGTGGACTGCGCGCACTGCTTACTGTGTGCCCTACTCGGCTACGGGCTGTCTCGTGAGGTTTCGCTTTGTGCACCCTTTATTGAAAAACATCTCATCGCATGAAACGAGGTGAACCTGTATACTTACACGTCAGCCTATTGGGGTCTCTATATAAGTCTATTTGGTAGCAATGCAAGTCATTCGTCTGGGCACAGTGCGGTCAAAGAGAAGCTGCTTGATTGTCATGCAGTGGCTGGGCATGCGGGCTCCATCGCCAATCCAACAACAGCGTCGCCTGCCAGAGGAGCTCACTGATGGGACTGTGGCGGATGCCTTTCGAGGATCTGTGAGCGCCTTCACACTGTAAGCCAAGCCAAGGCGAGGTAACCCAGGATGGATAGTCGGGCAGGGCCAGCTTGAATGTTTCAAACCGGCGCAGATGTCCCTTTAAAGGGAGTCCGTACGTAGCCAAACGTGCCATTCGGAGGTGCGAAGACCCGGAGCATCGTATGGCGCGAAGGGCCAGGCATCATCCACAGTGTTACACAAATACTAAGACTCCCACACACCCCCCCCCCCCCCCCCCCCATATAGCCTGAACGGATTGTAGGGGCAAGTGCTGTTAGCGAGCAGCACCTATCAAGGCCGGCACGGCACACGAGGGGGTGGGTGGCCAGCATCATGCCAAGCTGCCTTTGTCTCCCCAGTGGCGATGTTTTACACACCGCACTAGGTACTAATTTGAGGCTGAGTCGACCTAGGGGAGGCCCATGCCCGGTTCAGATAATTGTCACTGGTGGTGACCGTGAGCGGGAATTTAATTGGTTGTTGGCGGGTTTGTAGCGCGGCGCGCGCTAACCGCTACACTACCACTCCCCATAACAGCGTTTCCGCACGCATATACACACACACAGCCACACACACGCACAGACACACACACACGCATATACACACACACAGCCACACACACGCACAGACACACACACACGCATATACACACACACAGCCACACACACGCACAGACACACACACACGCATATACACACACACAGCCACACACACGCACAGACACACACACACGCATATACACACACACAGCCACACACACGCATAGACACACACACACGCATATACACACACACAGACACACACACGCATAGACACACACACGCACGCATAGACACACACACACGCGTAGACACACACACGCATATACACACACACAGCCACACACACGCACAGACACACACACACGCATATACACACACACAGCCACACACACGCATAGACACACACACACGCATATACACACACACAGACACACACACGCATAGACACACACACGCACGCATAGACACAGACGCATAGACACACACGCATAGACACATACA